AATTTTCATCTTTTCTGTCTGTAGATCATTTACTCAGCATTACTTTTTACATTAGAGATTTTGAGTTGTTCTATAAAGTTTGAACAACCCAAACAAAATTTTTTATTAAAAGCATTTTTTAAAAAAATTGCACACAGAACTGGGGTAAGTAGGAAAAAAACACTCACTGAGATTCCTGGGTAACCCCTTTGAATTCTCTATGGAAATCAGCATATTTGATACATCAATTAAATGCTAAGGCTCAACTGGTTCCACTGTTTCCATGTCAAGCTTTTTTAAAATACTGGTGTTAGTTGGGCATAGTGGCACAAGGCCTGGGATACCACTTGCTCAGGAGGCTGAGGCAGGAGGATCACAAATTTGCTAGGACAATCTGGGACAGAACTTGCCTAGCATGCAAGAGACCCTGGGTTTAGTGGTCAATACAGAGGCAAAAAAAAAAAAGAAAAAAGAAAAAAAGAAAAAGAAAAGAAACAAACAAACAAACAAAAAAACAAAAACAAAACAAAACAACAACAACAACAAAAAACCTCAAGCACCAAAATTAGTATTATTCGAATTTTGGAAATAAGGAAAAATATCCATGGAAATATTAAGAAACTTACTGAAGGCCATAAAGCTAGGTCTATTTGAATCCAAAGCCCTGTTTATCATATACTTCTGCCTTCCAGAAAGGAATTCCCGTTTTTTTTTTCCTTTGTGGTCACGTTCCTTGTAATGAATATAGGGGCTGCTTTGAATTACCTCCCTCTGCTGACTTGCTCATCAGGCAAATTTATAACTTACTTAACCAAATGAACTTCAAGTTCCTTCCTTCCTTATTATCTTCCATGAAGACATGGAGTTTGATTTTCAAATGATGGGGAAAAAAGGAAACTCAGAACAAGTGTGAATTAAAAAAAAATAGCCAGGTGTTTCTTGTAGTATTGGAATGAATCACTGATGCTATGGTTGAGTATTAGATGAACCACTGGCTTGTATTTTGCAGCCAGCCTATATCAAAAAGATGGATCTTCAAATGCCAGAATCACACTAAATAAGGCGAGATGATCACACTAAGAAAGGCACATGAGAACTGAGACCAGTGGAAGGAAAAGCAGAGTTATGTCCCCAATTTCACACATACTTTGAACAAAATACTTGAGAAAATAGTGGATGATTCCTAACCTCTTTACGATTTCCTTCTTCTTAACCTCCCTCTTGTCCCATATAATTGAATTCTTTTTAACATGAAAGGGGCTTCTTGGAATAGAGAAAGAATCTAGGTAAGACTGGGAGTAAGAGATCTTAGCTTCTATTCTACATTCCCTACCTGCCAGCCTGTAGCCTTCTGTGTGTTTTTAAGCCTTGGGTGCCCCTATCTGCCAAGTGAGGGGGTTGCATGGACCATCTTTAAAGCTTTACTTAGAACATTCAGTGACTCTATGAAAGGGATGTTACCCAAGGAAGGTCAGCTTTAAGGTACACTAAAATTAACTGGAGAGGAAAAAAAAATAATTTCAGGGGACTTCCTAAGGAAGAATGAACAATCCTAGGTTTTCTTGGATATTGAACGAAAAGAAGGAAGTCTTCATCAAGCAATTAGGAAGAACACTCTGCTAGGTGTCAGAAAAAAAGGCAAATTTTGATCCTGACTTGGAGGTTTGTCTGCAGGGTGTGTGTAGAGGAAAGGAAGATACTGACTAGATTACTCCTGCTTGACCTTATTTTCCCCCAATGTGAAGAAGACCTCTTATACAAACACACAAGAGGCATTTGTACATTTAACATCTCCTGTCTGGAGCAAAAATTTATTAAGATTCTGTTTGGAAATGATGTTTTAAAGTGAATCCTGATGATGTCTATATACATATGAAGACTGGCCAGGTGTGCTGGAGCTACTCTTTTGGTTTGTCCACAATGCCTGATGTATATACACATCTGCAGACTTCTTATAGTAAATCAGTAGCAGCCTAGCGGTCAGAAGTTAAGGATTAGATTAAATTTGCAGATGAGTCCAGCAATATATATATATATATATATATATATATATATATATATATATATTTTTTTTTTTTTTTTCCTTGTCTTCCTGCACCCCACTCCCAAACCCAGCTGTTTTTTTTTTTCTCTGAGTCACTAACAAATCCCTGCATCAGTACAGTACTATAGGCTGATGGAAAACCAGTCTTCAGACAGGCAATACTTTGAGCAGGTACTAACCTGCTCATGGCCCTATCGAATGATGTTAACCATGGTGTTGCAGAGGTAAAGCTGTGTTAGATGCTACTGTCAACACTAGATCTACTTAATTTTTAGCATTAAATGGATGCACAAAATCTCCAACAACATGATTGTACATCAGACTATTCCTTCTTGCAATCAAAGGGTGATCAGCAAGATTTAGCTGACCAGGTGATCAGATTAAAAGCAGTCCTTATTCCAAAACAATTCATAACCATTGAAAAGTGACAGATATTCAAACTGGATTTTAAAAAAATGCTCCAACTGTTCACCTGAATGATCAAAAACTGTTAGAATCAGAGAAATAGTTCAAGACAGCTATTTCAAAGCAGATTTTGAACTCATAATTTAAGAGTTTAACTTATAGGGGACATGAAGTTTAAAGCTTCAAGCAAGTTCATTAACAAGCAATAGATTTACTCAAGCTAAAATCTGTTCTACTTTAGTCAGAATGGCAATAAACATCAGTGACTGCTGTTGGGAGAGTCAGGAGGTAAGTAAGCTCCCATGTCCAGGAACACAGCTTAACTCTTAGGCATGGAGATGGGATGAATAAATCCCACTTCAGAATACAACAAACACATCCCCATATTCTACTGTTTTGTTATGCATGATTCTCTGAAATTGGAATTTAAAAGTATCCTGTCACAAAGGTAACTTTTAGGACTATTAGCAGTGGTGTGACAATAATATCTAACAAAAAAAGATAAAAGAAAAAAAAAGAGATAACAAGTAATTCTGATTAGTATATCAGCAGAGCCCTTCATCTCATCTTTTGAATTTAATTAACATAACCTTTCTTATTTTTTTTGCTAAGAAAGAAAATCCAGAAAAAATTTTGAGTTTCATAAAATAAAGGCTTACAATATTATGTTTTAATTAAAGTTGAATAAGCCTCCCAATGAATATTAATTTTTTAAAAGCCTAACCAGCAATACTACATTATTAAAAGCTGCATCAGTTATGTCAAAGAAATTAGTACTTGATTTTTCAAGATTCATCACCATGTTCTTAAGTATCTTGAAACTCAAATTCAAATAACGTTAATGTAATGTTGCAGTAGCCCAAAGTCTAAGAGTAAGAACTAAAAGCAGATATGTTCATTTATTGCAACGAAGTTCACTGACCTCCCAAGTGTTGAAATGCTGAGATAAGGTGTATTTACCTGTGAAAACCTAAAAAAATGGGGAGGGTGTTCCTGAAAAAATTTATTATCTCACCAGAATCAACTGCTCTCCATCCCCACCCTCCATTCTGTAAAGGTTTGTTACACAACTTGTAAAGTCTCACTCTTTTGTGTTTTCTTTCAAGTTCATGTCTTAAAGGAAGGAAGCAAAAATCCTTTACTTGGTGTGAACTCCCTATCAGTCATTTTATCTTTCAGATAATCTCATTTTCACCGTGAGTTCTGGCTTTAGGTCTCTCTTAAATTGTTGCTGGGGGTGGTGCAGGGGGAGTCAAAGTCCTTAAAACTGTCCCCCAAATGCGAACAATACCACAAGTTGACAAAAATATAAAACCAGAGATTTCAAATAAAACAGCACGCACTCTCAAACTCCCAGAGGGGACAAAACGAAACAAAACAAGAACACAAAAACTTGGACTGTTCCAGTACATCCGCAAGGGTGGGGGGACTGGAGAGGTGCAAGCTCCTGCGAAGAGCCTTGGCCTCCGCTTTCCCAGGCCAGCAGGTTGCTCTTGGCAAACGCCTCAGACAACAATGGCCAGGATGGGCTTTGCTTGCGTCGCTAGTTAGCTGCGTCTGCCCCTGCCCGGAAAAAAATAACCTATCTCAAAAGAATGACAAAATAAAGAAGCATGCGTTAGGCTACCAAGGAAACATCCTTCCCTCCCCCCAATTCCAAACCTCCATCAGATTCCCCACCAGGGACCAAAGATGAACCCACCACCAATCAAGTTCCTGCGCAAGTTATTTTATTTCCTGCAGCCCCTCCACCTGCCCGGGCGGTGCTCGGTGCACCCCAGGCATCCCTCCGGCGACCCCCCGCGGGCTGCAGCAAAAGCGGGGCGCTTCGACAGGGTGGGGGCGGGCGGCTGCCGCGGATCCGGCCGGCTACCGCCGCAGCTTGGTGGCCTCCCATTGGCCAGGACGCGGGCGGGGAGACTCAACGGAGGAGGGAGGCGGGGGCGAGGGCGGCGGCGGCAGCGGCAGCAGCGGGAGGGGATAGGAGAGGGGAGCGGGCCGCGCAACCAGGCAGCGCGTGCGGCGAGCGCGGGAGAGCGGTGGAGGCGGCGGCTCGCCCAGATCGCGCTGGCGGAGGCCGAGCGGGGTGCGCTGGCAGCGGCGGGGGGCGGCGCGCGCGAGTGAGCGGCGTTGGGAGTGGATCGGCGGGCGGGTGCCGGCGCACAGGCAGCAGGGGCGGCCGCAGCGACAGCTGCGCGGGACGGAGCCGCGGCGGTAGCAGCCGTGCCGGCTTTCGGCGTCACCCCTACGCGGCCGAGGCCGGAGAACAGTCTCCAACTCGCCAGGGGACGGGGAAGGGGAGCCAAAAAGCGGCCCTCGGTCTCCACGCAGAGGCAAGGGCAGCGGGATTGCTGCCCTTTGTGGGCAAAGAGCGCACGGCCCAGAGCGCCCTCCCCACGGCGCTCTCCCCCGCATCTTCGTCGCACTGAGCGGCCCTGGAGAGGAGACCCAGAGGAAGCAAAACCAGGAGCCCGAAACCTCGCGTTGAGGAGCTCCTGGGGAGCGCCATCCGCTCCACTTCCACCTCCGCATCCAACACTGGCCAAGGTCCCCGCCGCTGCATCCCTAGCGGCTTCCGCTGCGCGCCGGGCCGAAGCAGAGCCGCCTGCGCTGCCACCGCGGCCGCCTACACACACACACACACACACACACGCACACACTCATACACACTCACACGCACCCCCGCCCGCCCTTCTCCCCGCCCCCTCCCCAGCTCCTTGATCTCTCGGTCTGTTTTATTACTCCTGGTGCGAGTCCCGCGGACTCCGCGGCCCGCTATTTGTCATCAGCTCGCTCTCCATTGGCGGGGAGAGGAGAGCAGCGGAGAAGGGGGTGGGGTGGGGAGGGGAAGGGAAGGGGGTGGAAACTGCCTGGAGCCGTCTCTCCGCGCCGCTGTTGGTGCTGCCGCTGCCTCCGCCGCCGCCTCCGGCTCCTCGCTCGGCCCCTCTCCGCCTCCATGTGCCGGATAGCGGGAGCGCCGCGGACCCTGCTGCCGCTGCTGGCGGCCCTGCTTCAGGTACACGGCGGTCCCCGCGGGTCGGGCTGCGGGCGGGGTGGGGAGGGCGGCGCCGGGTCCCTTTGTTCCCCGCGCCGCTGCGGGGCCGGGCTGCGCACCCGGGAAGGGAGGTGCCGCACCGCGTTGCCGGGAACTGCGCAGGCACGAGGCTCTGGCCGGGTGCAGGGGCAGAGCTGCCGGGGCCAGCTGTTCTTACGCGCCTCCTCAGGAAGGGCTGGAGGGGTCGATCACGGGCCCCCTTTGCTTCTCCTTCGGGGCCCGGTGAGCTCGTGCGGGATGTCCCCAGGCAGCCCAAGCGAGAGGCAGGATAACTCCCAGGTTTTGCAGTCTTCTGTGCTTCTCGCCCCTCGCATTGCACTTTGCTCCAAATCTTTCCTCTTAAGGGACGGGTTGCGAGTTTGCAATAGAAATTCTCACTCTGGTGTCTTAGTTACGGGACTTGCTTCCACCCCACCCCACCCTGGCACCCGTGCGCAGCCTGGTGCCCAAGGGCTCTGTTGTCCTATTGTCTTTACCCCAACCTAGAGTTGCCTCTTATTCTTTTTCTTCTTTTGCCCTCACAATTCAATGTGTTGGTCCACCTGGAAAGAAAGTCTCGCCCCCTACCCCCACGGAGTGTTTGCGGGCCGGTGCCTCAGCTCCCACACTCCGGACCCGCACACGGGTAGCGGGCGGAGCGGGGAGAAGTTCCGTTACGCGGGTACTATTTATCTGGCTCTGTCCGGTTGCCTCTGCCTGGATAGTGTCCCCGGGGCGCAGAGCTTGGAGCTTTCCTCACTTTTCTTACTCTTGAGAGCGCCGGCGAGCATTTTCATTGACTCTGTATTAGGAGGCTTCAACGCGGCAGGAAACACCTGCTCCAGGCAGGTCTCAGGTTCCCTTGACGCTCCGCGCCGCTGGCCCCCAGCCCGGCCCTCTGCCCAACTTTCTTGAGGTGTCCGGCCGGATCGTGCCCCCCAGCCCGTTCCAACCGCCAGCCGGATCCCTGGAGGACATTCTTGCTTAGTCCTGGCCGCGACCATCGTGCATAGCAGGGGCTACGTTGGGGTCTCTTGTTTGCCCTCCTCTACAGTGGAGCCCAGAGGAGGCTGAAAGAAAGGGGTGTGTCCATCCTCGCCGCGGGCAGGGAATCTGTCCTGGAGACCAGTGCGCAGCAGCCATCTGGGGGTGGGGTGGCCTAGCGGGTGGCGGCCCAGACAAGTGCGGGCGCGGCTCGGAAGTGCCACTGCTCGGGGAGTGGGAGTGGAAGGTGGGGACAGATGGTGAGGATCGCCCCCTTCCATGGTCTTCTTGGGTCAGGGGCTGGCGCGTCCCTGCCGCCAGGAGCTGCGGGCGTCGTGTTGGGACTGGGCCGGCGCCCGCGGTCTCTGGAGCTTTCTCCCGCCGCCCCCTAGAGGGGTGTGGGCCGCGGCAGCGCTGAGCCCTGTCCATGGTGCGCCATGGTGCGGCTCGCCAGGCCCTGCCCCACTCCGCTCTTTGCTCTTGAAGTCTTGCACTCTCACTTTGCAGCTGGGCTTTCCCTAGCTCCCGCTCCTAGGCCGCAGGGTCCGGATCATTCATTTCCCCAGTCTTGGGTTTCTCCTTTTGTTCTTTCCTCTCCTGCTGGTCTTTCTCTCCTGCTTCCCCCACTCGAAGGTCTCCATTCCCCCTACCCCCCACTCTCCCTGACTGTGAGATTTTAGAACTATTAGACTAGACATTTTTGGCCTCTGCAGTTTTGGGGAGTGGATGGAATTTTTTTTTCTAACTTGGAGGAGGAGACCTGCCAGTCACTTGATAACAAAAGTACCTCCTGTTATAAAACCGCCCTTTATTCTTCCAGCGCACACTCCTCATTCTTTCACCTACTGTCACTTCATTTATTGTTTCTTCTTTAAAAAATGGGGGTTTTGAAAGAGGTTAAGCTGCAGGAGAAGAAAGAAAGAAGTGCTACTTCAGAATGTTTTAAGTTAAAGGGAAGGCAAGACAAAGTTAAGAATTCTATGTAGATCATATTTGTCTTTTAACAAAGGAGATGTCATAAATCAAGAAACGATTTTTCATACCTCGAGTGGTCTTACTTATTTACAAACGACAGACCTTGAGTGTGAATCCAGCAGTACATAGTTATTTTCCCAAAAGTTTCATCAAAAGTGTAGGTTCTAATTGAATACTGTGCGGTGAAGTTAGGGTAGTAGTAGGTATTTGTTGGTCGTTAATACCCTGGAAAGTAAAAATGTAAAACAATCTCAATTCCTCTTTTATGTATCTGCCTTGAAGTCAGGAGTGAATTTTGGACATAATTTTTTAAGTATTTTAAAAATATTATATGTAAACATTAGAAAACAGTATATTCCCATGTATATTCTTTCTTGGTTTCTTCTGTACTGCTGTTGACTTTTATAAACCTTCACAAGGGAGGACATTGTAACTTGGTCATCAAGTCTCTTGTCAGTCTTCTATCATGAGTGCAGGGTGAGCAGTAACATTGAATGGCTTGAAAGGTCATTAAGAATGGAGGCAAGAGAGTTTATGTAAGGTGAGTTTGGGGGTTAAGTGCACCATGTGGTTTGTACAACTCAGATTAGAAATGACTTTAAGTGAACAGTCTGCTTTATAACCGAGCACTATGCAGATCTATCTGCAAGGTGAACGTGGCTCCTCTGCAGTCATCTGCTATTAAAGTCTACCTTTCTTCAGTCCAGACTAAGCAGCCAAATATTTTAGAAAAGAGAATGGGCAGGTTATTAGTGTAGATAAAAAACAACCTTTTTTTTTCCTCAGACAAGTTAAACATACTTGAATGTTCAGAGACCTCTGTGCTTTTAATTCTAACGGAAGTGTCCATGATCCTTGATTCACTTTGAGAGATTCTTTATTAGTTTATTGTTAATCTAGATTTACATAATTCTAGTCAGTTTTACATTTGATATTCAGCTTCAAGATTTCCTATGTTCTTCCTAATTTTAACTTAAGATGTTACCATTGTCCTTTACATTAAAAATTTTTTTGAATGTTAAACTTAACTGGTTACATGATAAAACTTTATCTGACAAAGTTATGCTTAGCTTTCTTTTTAAGTTATACAAGTGACTTTCAAATACTTACATAGGCTTATCGTTAGAGAAAAAATCAGTTTTATTTCTACTACCAACCCAGTAATTACTATATTAGAAACTTGTTTTGTTTTTCTAGTTCACATCTTAATTGCTTAGCCCATTGTTCTAATCTAAACACACTTGAATGGGATGTGAGACAACTAGGACAATACAATGTTCATAGAAATTTTAGATTCTTAGTCTTATATAAACCTTGGTTTTGATTCTTTTGAGTACCATAAAAAAGAAGATGCATAAATCATACCTATTTTTCACCTGTTATGTGCAGACTATAAAGTGATTGCTATATTAACACAGGGAACACATTAAAAAGAAAGAAGCTTTATTTTAGGATGTGAAAATATGGAATTCAGTAATCATTTGAAGTATAAAACATTTATTCATTCTCAGTGTTTGTTTGTTTTTCCATCTGTCTTTTAACTTAAGAAGAATTAACTTAGTTTGTAGTCATAGTTTATTTTACTTATAGAACGTAGTTGTGTATATCTTGATGCTTTCATATCTTGGTGCATGTCTTTATTCCTAATAGGTGGTCCAGTACAAATTCACTAGATGTGATTTGAAAAATAATAATTAGCATACCCTAAAATGCATTATGGGCAGATGTTTAGTAGATGAATATATACACACACACATTCTCCAAAAACAAGTTCAGAATATATAGAGTATACCTTTTCATTTTTGTACCTGCATGGAAGTCTGCCCTGACCTTCTTCCAGAAACTCAAAATGAGACTTTATAAGAGGAAATTCTTTTTTAAATTTTCAATTTTTGCATATAGATAAGTCTTCCTGGAAAATTATTTTGGTGACAGTATACTGCACCAAACTATTTTTAATTTTCTTTTTCATTAAAAATTTTCAATTCTTAAATCTGTTGTGCCTCATTAAGCTTTTAGGGTTATTAATCGGAAAATGTCAAGATTTAAAGCAACAGTTAATCTTGCTGTAAAATGTTGCTGCTTCTTTTTTCTTTTTAAATCCTAAGTGACTCAGATCTCCATCCTGTTTTCAAGGGGATATTTTCAAGTTAGAAGAGTGGATTTTTTTTTTCAGGGAAAATCAGAGCTGTTATTTGAGAAGTGTAGTGTTTGTGTATACATGCTACCATTTTTGCCCAAGTTAACATTATTCAAATTTGTTCTTTTGGCTCAAATACAAAAAGTAATCAAGTTTAAGCACTTCTTAGACTTGGCAGTGAATTTTATCAATCATTTAAAAGTATGATGAATTGGAAATTTGGATTTTGTTATTTGAATAAGTATTTTATATCTGTCATCAGTCCACCTTTTAGAAATCAAATATACAAATATATTCAGGTTGGGTAAAAACCTACAAAGTAAAACATAATTTGTAGCAACAAGTCATTATTTATGTCCCATGTATCTGTGTTTTTCCTAATAAAATTTTATTTTTAATATTTTTGAGAAATTATATCTACTTAAGCAACTACTAATTTTATGTTTAGTGAGATATCAGGAAACGTTTTAATTAAACAACAGTGTTTATGCTGGAAAAGAGGCATATGCCAATTAATATTTTATTAAGAGCCATATCTTCTATATATGTAAAGTGATAGAGTAGGCAAAATAAAGCAAATTCAGAAGATAAATGGGACCTTTTGAAAGATGGATTTAAAGATCATGACTTATGTTAAAGTTTGTTTTTCAAAAGAATTTAGTTTACACATAAGTAGTCTTGCTCAGTGTATTATTTTTTGTTACTCTTAAGTACTCATTCTACTTCCTTATGTGTGGTCCACTTCAGAATACACAGGCACCATGAGAATAGGTGAAATGACAGCATTCAGAGCCCTTGGTTTGCATGTGTATGTAGGTATGTCCCCCCCCCCCCCTTTCTCTCTCTCTCTCTATATACACACACATGAATGACACATATATTG